AGTACAAAGACAAGCATTTCCATCGGAAATAAGAAGTCTCCAAATCGTTCAAGCGAACGCTAAGTACGGTAGCCGGGAAGTAGAAAAGGAGAAGAAGGCTGTGCTGAAGAAAACCAGTACGCTTCGCACGTTAGACCCCTTCCTAGACAGTGATGGTGTCATGAGAGTTGGCGGGCGAATACGGAAGGCAACACTATCGGAGTCACTCAAAAACCCTGTCACCTTACCAAAGTCAAGCCACATTACCGCACTAGTTATCAGCTACGCGCACGAAAGAACACACCGTAGCGGAAGAGGAATTACGTTGAATGAGCTTCGTGCTAGTGGCTATTGGATCGTCGGTGGAAATTCGATGGTCAGGCAGTTTATTTCCAAATGCGTAACATGTCGTTACCTTCGAGGTACTGTGGGAGAGCAGAAGATGGCTGACTTGCCGAAGTCGTGCGTGGAGCCAGCACCGCCTTTCACCTACTGCAGAGTCGATTTCTTTGGTCCTTGTCACGTACAACGAGGAAGGTCTGTCGTCAAGAGATACGGAGCATTGTTTACTTGTTTTGCAAGTAGGGCTGTACACATAGAAGTTGCAGACTCCTTAGAAACTGATTCCTTTATTTAAGCATTGAGACGGTTCATCTGTAGAAGAGGACCAGTCAGAGAAATTCGTTGTGACAGAGGAACGAATTTTATTGGAGCGGAAGCGGAACTCAAGAACGCTATTGACGAGATAGACGACCAAAAGGTCAAAGCAGAACTCCTTAAAGCCAAGATCGATTGGATTAAGAATCCTGCATCGGCGAGTAACTTTGGAGGCGTGTGGGAAAGGCAAATCAGGTCAATCAGAAACGTCATGAGTGGTCTTATTAGAGAGCATGGTAATCGTCTTGACGAAGAATCGCTTAGAACATTCCTTTGCGAAGCAGAATCTACAATCAATAACAGGCCTCTGACGGTAGAGACACTCAGCGATCCTCTTTCAGAGCCACCATTGTCGCCAAGTATGCTGCTGACAGGAAAGACAAGGCTTGTGCCACCTCCACCAGGAGAATTTAAGAGAGAAGACTTATACTGTCGAAGGAAATGGAGACGCACGCAACACCCAGCCGAGAGTTTTGGCCAAGGTAGAGCAAAGAGTACTTGCAACAGTTACAAGCAAGAATCAAGTGGACTCGGCCAAAAATAAATTTCAAGGTTGGAGATGTGGTATTAATGAAAGAAAACCAGTCTCCGAGAAACAGATGGCCTTTGGGTAAGGTCGTAGCCACGCATCCTGATGATCAAGATCGAGTCCGATCGGCGACAGTGCTGACAGGCAATGGCTCCAAGTTGGAAAGGCCTGTTAACAAGCTCCTCTTACTTTTGGAGGCGCAATGTTTAGAGACCGGGATTCCCCGACGAGGAGCCCGAGCTTTTATGAACGCTTTCTCTAGGAAATAAGTTTTAGGACTATTATCGAGATAGTTATAGTTGTTGTTGCTCTTGTTATAGTTGTTGCTCCCCAAAATGTAAGGCAAGGCTTACATTTTGGGGAGCCATTTAACTGCTGGTATCCTGACCAGCGGGCTTACCCCCTTGTTTATTAGGAGCATGCGCACGGGGCCTCGGCGTTGGCCGGCACGAGGCCACCCTGAAATAACCTGAAGTTTCACTAAGGTTTTCTTCAAGTTTCCCAAGTGTTTTGTAAGTCGTTTGTTTCAGTTTTTCTTTCTCGTGCTACGGATTTCTAACGGATGTTTGTGATGATACTTGTGAGTTGATTCAGCCTCGTGTATGATTAAACCTTTTGCTGTTATGTTCATCGCCACGGCTATCATGTGCCGCCATTCACAACCACACTGACGTTTACCGTTTGCAGTAAACGTGAATCTTAATCTCTCCATTGTTACAAAACTCCTTCTTTCATAACTTATCTGGACAAAATTTTTGTATTTTTTGAAACACGAATAGCATATTGCTGTGTCAAGGTTTGAATTTTTGCGCTAAGCACGAGAAACTGTGGTTTTGATAACACACAACGTGCGGTGAGTGTTTCAAGTCATATATTCTTGACTACTCTTGACCCTTATACAGACTGTGCGCGGATCAAAACATTTCCAGTCTCTTATAAATTCCACGTACGTTTACAAATAGCTGTATCGTGTTCAATATCTGGCCCGATCGACACCAAACTTCAGACTTGCCATAACCTCAATATGCTCTTTCTGACTATGTGGGTCTCATGTTGTTTATCCCATATTAGAAAAATCCAACTAGTGGTATTTTTCTGCGTTTCGATTGGTTGAGCTACTACTAAGTTTTTAGTGGCGATTTTTGAATCGCTTTATTTGCGGGTGCAGAAAACGAAAAAGTAGTTAACAATTTCAATTTTCGCACCGAGGATTTTTTAACAGACCTCTTTACAGTTAAAGAAGATTCCGGGCGAGGGATCACTACTATAAGTGAAGCAAGAATACTACAAAACGCAACTACATTCGAACCGCGCTTTACGACGGACATTTTCTATGGTCCCTCAGGGTCCCTATTAACGGGGTGTTTGGCATAACCGGCTTAACGGGAACCCCTTACCTGAATCCAAACAGTGGAATTTTTAAGATCCTGTGCAATTTCGAACTGTCGTTCTTGGTGAACAATGTGGAATAAAAGAAAACACTATTTCAGTAATCGTAGAGCAAGTTTGCTCTTCATGGAAAGCTAATTACAATGCGTGGGGATTATGTATCGATCACAGGTGACGTCAAAATGTGGTAAAAACATCCGTGACACTTCTTTGTTTTTACCACATTTTGACGTCATACTAAACAGACGCACAACATGGAATCTATTTGTAAAGCAGGGGTAAGTCACTTACGAGTTACGATTAATTGTCTGGTGTTCAAGGGCACCGCCTGATGCCATATTTTAGCTCTAGGTACTTACACTATCCTGTTAAAGCAGAAAGCACTTTGAAGCTCCCAGATCCAGGAAGACAAGCTCAAAAAAGTAAAATTTGGCAATTGCATTGCAGCGGCACGAAACTACAGAAGATGGTACGCGTCTCTCTCTCATGACGTCACGATGGCCAAGCGAAGTTCATGCCGATTTTATCTCCCCCTCCTCCCCGGGACGTTGGGAGGGGTGGGAGGGGGGGTAGATTTGAAAGGGTTACCTTTAATGTTAGTGTAAAATGTCTTTACGATGACACAAACTCACTTCCTACAAAATATACTGTTTTTAAGCCGAAAATGGCTCAAAAACAGAATTTATTTGACATTCAAATTAAATTATATTACAGACCTTAATTACTACCCATCTATCTATTTCCCTACAATTTCTAAAAAAAAAAAAAAAAAAAATAAGAAAGACCCGGTTTGAAGAACCATAAAAATTCAATAAACAAATCCTATAATTGTTTATCTTATAATGGATAAATAATTAAGAGAAAGCAAAAAGACAAGAAAAAAAAAAAACAAAAAAAAAAAAAAACAACCACCACAAAATACCATGAAAGAGGTTTTTATGTCGAATACCACAGGCCAACTTTTGGCTTGGATTTCTTTAAAGGGGCTATGTCTCAAACCAGCCTCGCTGATCAGAACTGGGTACCCTTGACTATTGTTTAAAATAAATAAAAAATGGTAGTCTTTACACTAGAGCCTAAATAAGCTAAGAAGTATTTCATGACAAGTAAATTTTAAATTCTTCAAGTAAAAGGAAGCTTCACACAAAACCCATCTTTTTTACTTCAGGTTAACTTAAAAGGCTAGTTTCCAATGCAGCATAATTAAGATGGGATGACATGCTTCGCCCTTCTCAAAGCTCAAGAAACCGCAAGTTCGCAAAGTCGGTTTTAAGGATGGTTTTCAACTCACTTGAAACCGTTTTTGAATCGTTTCAACTCTCCGACTTTAATGAGACGCAAAGTAAAATAACTTGAGATTTTACTTAGGCCTTCACACACGTATCTTTGGTGAAGTAAAACTTAGCAGCTCTTAAGTCTTACTTAACGGCCTAGTGTAAAGAAACCAATAAATAAAATTGAAAAGATTAAATGTGTCATCAATTGAATTCAAAATATAATAGTCAAGTTGTCTCATTGAAGGCTATACTTAAGCATTGAAACTGTTTCCTGTTGTCTGTTACTACGAAAGACAATTATGGACGATTGAAACTTGAAAAGGTAAGCTATTCTTTTCGAGTTAATGCCTTACCAGCAAAAATCAAAAATTGTTAGTGCTCCCTGGTGAAATCGTTTCCGTTCGATATCTTCATAACTTTACAGGAGCTTTATGCTTTGGGTAAGGGCTCTAGGTAATGACTTTAGTCCAGAATTGATCTCTCGTGACATGGCCCCTTTAAATCAAGGCACAGGGTAATGAGCGATTACACGAAGACACCGGAAATTCAGGTAGGAAAATCAGACGGTTCTCATTATTCTGTTTAGGAAGCTTCAGAGAATATGGGCTGTAGCTTTAGGCCGTGCAATAGACTGCAAAACAGACGGTGTTTTTTTCTCAAAATCGGTTTAGCGTAGCGTAAGAGATTGATTGGTGGGGTGCTGGTAGTGTTGATTAAATAACGATCAATACATCGATCAAAAAGGTATGTTTTGTTTACGTGCGTCGCAGATCTGGTCTGATCTGACCTCTGGTGGCAGAATTTAAAATGCCCTCTCCTCCTTCCCTTTTTTTGCTCTCTTTCCAACTTTCGCGCAATAACTCGATTGGAAACGCTTGCTACGAAGGCTACATTAGTCTCGTCACGCAGTGAATCTCTCCAAAGAAGAGGTGTTCGCTTGAGAAGCGTTGCGTCACTAGAAAAATAACCGCTGCGCCTAACGCTGGAAAAAAATTAAAAACTTTCAGTTTCATTTAAAAGGTGTGAATTTTTAACGGCTACCGAGTCTGTTAACTGGCAAAAATGATTCAATGTAGCGTTATCACAACCAATTGTTTTACTAAGTTTTAGTGTTCACGTACAAACAATTTCAAAATCGCTAGCTACAATGTAGGATAGGAGGCGAAACCTCATCTATTTTGCATCAGCTGAAAACAAAGAGCGTGATCTCTGGTGTCACCCCACCCCCCATTAGGACCGAACTTTGAGCTCTGACCAGTATTCCCCGGCTGGACATTTACGGTGGAAGGATAAAAGTTTTCTGTGTTCCGGTCGATGATTGACTGGTATTTCTGCACTGTAGCCTCAATGTTGCAATCTGTTTTCTTGTGATGCAAGCCACTGTAGAGACAAAGAATTGAACAACTTCACTCGTTACAGAAGTATTAACGGAAGGGGCGGCTCTTGCAATTCACTGTGGCTCTACAGAATTTTCGGGGGGACAACACACCTCCCACGTTTGAGCACTGACTACGGCGCCAGTGACAAAGATTTTGAGACAAAAGACCTTATTCACGATACCAGCCATCTTTGCACGCGCTTTAGGATTGATGGGATAAAAGCAATGTCACGTGGCATTCAGGGGGAATGCGAGAAATCGCGGTCGACTTTGTATATTCTCTCAAAACGAATTTGACTTTCGACAAAATTAACGTTATTATTGCGTTCTGTGAGGACATCTACGGTCGCTACTGCATTAAAAAAGTAACAACGATCACATTCACCCATAATTTGCCATTATCATCTTTAATACAAAAAGTTGTTCATTTTCTGTTGGCAAGAATAAATAAACTCAACTGCGACTTCTTGTATTGGGAACATTTATCACTTGTTTGCCCCTTGAGAAACCACGTGACATCGCTTTTATCCCATCACTCCTTAAACGCGTGCAAAGATGGCGGGCATTGTGAATAAGGTCTATTGGTCACCACAGATGCACTAATTAATTACCAGACCAGAAAAGCTAGCACGGCCCGCAAGACTTCGTTGCACCCAGGGACACGGAGAGGGTCCACCCGAGGTCCAACCCCTTACCCGTTTGTATACCATTTTTTTTGGCAATAAAACGTTACCCCTTTTGTATACCTTCCATTAACAACAAATGCCTCTTTCATATGCCTGCTAACAGTCTTCTTGTAATTTTAGGAAGCGTTTAATAAATTAAATTGATACAGCCTTAAGGTGCATCGGTTCGAAACATTTTAGTTTAAGGCCAAAATTCCTGACCCTTTCGTATATTTTAACTCACGAAATCCCTACTCTTTTATATACCTGAAGCCTGAAAAAGGTACCCCTTTCGGGGGCAGCCTCCCCGTAAAGCCTGCGCGAGTTAGGGGAAACTTTTGGCGGCAGAGTCGCCATCCCGCAAGGAAAAGTGAACTCGCACAAGTGAGGCTGCTCGCAGGATAGATCCCCCCCCCCCCCCCCCCCCCCCCCCCCCCCCCGCTCGGACCCGCCACAACAAAACAAAAAAAGGGGAGAGGGAGGCGAAAAAAAACACAGCAACAAAAGAAAAAAAAAAAGAACAAAAAGAAAGAAGAAAAAAGGGACACGGGCGCCCCCCCCCCCCCCCCCCCCGCCCCCCCCCCCTCCCCCCGGGGCGTGTCAGGCATTTGAAGCGGCAAAAAAAGGAGGAAGAAAGGCGCACGGGAACGTAAAGAACGCCCGAGAATATAAAGGAAAGGAACAGATCAAAAAGTAGGGTCCTTGCAGGTGCTGCCTTCCTCCCTCTTGCGCACGCCGTAACAATCATCCTTTCCCTTAGCCTTCATTGATGCCTGCCACGCAGACTAACCGCACACGCTTGCCAAGCACGTTTGCACTTAGGACCATACAGTACTTCAAACGATGATTTTCTACGACTTATTGGCCATTTTTAGGAGGAGAAAAGGAAAATTGCATTTTTAAAACTTACCATTCTCCAAGATGAAATACTCTGGGTCCCTTGAGAACAAGTGACTTCAAAGGCCGTGGCAAGCATGAAATACTAATCTTCATAAGAGACCAGTCCCAGTTGTATTCGTCATAACTCTTGCAAAAAACCTGAAACAAGTAAGAAGAATCTTAACCGCCCCCTGGTCAGCTCAGTTGGGAGAGCGCCAGCCTACCGAACGGGAGGTCGCAGGCTCAAACCCCGGCCGGACCAACACTCGGGGCCTTTAAATAACTGAGAAGGAAAGTGCTGCCTTTGTAATGGACTTTCTAGTCTCCTCGGATAAGGACGAAAAACCGTAGGTCCCGTCTCAGAAAACTATTACTGATCTGTTCTTGTGGGACGTGAAAGAACCTATACCACTGTTCGAAATGAGTAGGGGACGCGACGTAGACGCGAGTGGTGTGGCCAAACTTTCCTGAGCTGGATGGGTTATCTGTAGGGGCGCACTTAAATTGGAGCCCAGCTCTGTTGTGTGTTCCGCATCATATGGTGAAAGTGATTAAGTGAAATGATATAAATTTGTGTCAAAAATAAACATCCTATAATAAGGGATTTCTAACTTTACTGACATACAGGCCAATTCAGTAAAGTTCTGCGCTGATCTGGGTGTTCACAATGTAGTTCCTACTGCACAGATGTAAGTGCATCAGAACGTCTGCTTTTGCAACGGCTGCTATAGTGGTCACTTTTTTTTCATTGTCCCTTCCTTTTATTGCTATTTCCTTTCCTCTTACTTAGAATTTTACACGTTGTACAATCGTGTTTGCCTAGTCCCTGTACGGCATCTTCCCAGGCCTTCTCGGTCAATTTATTTCAGTGACGTATCCGAGACGAGCGGCCCTCGGACCACGTGACCCGAAACACATCGGCCGCGCGCAATAATGAGGCCTAGGGACTAGGAAACAATCGTTCCACTTGCCAAATATCCAAATAAGCAATAAATCTACAAGATGGCCTGTTCATGTTCGTGAAAGTAAGTATTGCTAAATGTATGTATGTTTAATTGAAATGATGACAAAAAATTAAATATTTTGTCTACAGAGTTAAAAAAATGAAGAAAGACACATTTAAGTAATAATAATAATAATAATAATAATAATAATAATAATAATAATAATAATAAATTAAATCATTAATTTTCTGTTTTTGTTGTTAATTTTTTGCATGAAACTTCAAGAGAGTTACTTAAAAGCATAAGCTAACTGCCAGTCTGCATACCTCACTGCATTTCTTGAGTTTCTTCCAAGTGGTCCTGTCAAATGCTAGTCCCATGTTATGTTCATGTGAATGCCAATTAGAAAGTAGTGCCTAAAACAAACATTGTCTACAGGTAAAACTATTTTCATTACTTTCTTTACCCATATTTGACTTAACCCACGAACTGCTACAGGAGAGTGCCTTAAATGATTGCTGGTGATTATGATGATGGTAAAATGAAAATCAGTTAAAAAAAAAGGTTTTATGTTGAGTGAAAAAAAGGTCATTTCAGGAACATAAAACTTATCTGGCTGCACAGGTCTGATTAACAGCACCATACTGCATTCAGTGAGAACTTTACCATCTTTCTTCTTTAAGTTATTGCCATTCTTTTTAGGATTGGGCTGACCAAACCAGTCAGGTTTGACTAATGCTAAGAGCTCTTGCAATAATACATGTATTATTTCTCTTCACTTTAAATTATTGATTGTACACTGTAGATCTGCAGGTCAAAATTTATTGATGCATTAAACTCATCACCAATAGATGAGCTTGGGCACCAGTGCCTACAAAGTTGCAACTGCATATACAAGTTACAAGGTGCCCCTGCTAGAAGAATCTGGCCACCCCCAGCATAGCTAAGAAAACTGCTGACCAGCATTGCTTCATGATTAAATGTGGCTAAATGCAATTTAGGCAAGGTTAGCTTTGCCTAAATTACATTTAGCCACACTTAACTATGAAGCATTGGGTTGTGAGTTCGATTCTCAACTGGAGCTCGAAAAAATTTTCTGAACTTTCTCGTGTTTGAATTCTCCTTCTTCTTTAATAAAATTCATTTACACCATTTTAATTTCCAGCAAAGTAAAGTTAGAGTGTTATTTCCACTTACCACATTCTGGGCCCCAGCATAATTGTCTACAGATTTGTAAGTTCCCAGAGTGATGAAATCACAATCATCTTTACACCCACTGTGAAATTTAAGATACAATAAATTATGAGTCATTTAATCGTGGAGCTCCCAACAGTGACCAAAATCAATTTTCATTCAACAACAAACAATTTATAAAGTACATCATCACTAGAAAAGGTGGTGAGAATTAATAAGGCCATCACCAAAATCAATGGAAAATGCTTTTTTCTAAACCAGCCTGAATTGCCATTAAAAGCTTGAACTTATTGTAAACTAATAATAATATGTTTTCAGTAGGTAGAATTGTTAATGCAGGGCTTCTGATATTTCGCGCAGTCGCGGAGCCGCAAAATTCAGGTAAATCTGCAAAATCTTGTGAAATTCACAAAAACACGAAAAATACCGTGAAATTCGGTAGGAATCTTATCAAATACATGTCTGTACAATATATTTGGAACTTGTTTCTGCTATTGGGGCTACTTACTTGCCGTAAACTTGCAAATTTATCTTAGAACTTCATCACTGAAACATGCAAACAACGTACCAAAACTACCAGGCATAGATTATGTTGGGAGAAACTGGGCGCTAGCCATGATGTTAAAGGCTTTGCCATCGGTTCATTTCTGGAGCGTATTGTTGTTGAAAGAGCAAATGATGACCTCTGTTAGAAAAACGTTAAAAACTCTGGTCTGATCAGTGCAAAATCGGCCGTTTTTTACTGATTGCTTTTTGGTGAAGTTTGCCCTAAAAACTCCCATGAAATTACCAGGAAATCGGCCGATTTTTCCGTGAATATGTCCCTAAAAATCCCATGAAATTTGACTTTTTCTTCTGCGACCTGTCAGAAGCCCTGTTATGGTGGTGGGGCATTCACTGTAATTTGTGCTACTTACTTCATTTTGTTGTCATACAGCAATCTTAACATATGGTAGAAGTCTGGACTAACATAATAGTCTTCTTCAAGAAACAATACTGGTCCCACATATGACTTTGTTACATTTAACTGGTCAAACACTTTGTTAACCTGAAAAAGGAAACAACCTTAATCAGTGTTAAATATCAGTGAGACAGCAGCAACATAATTTTGCTCAAGAACTTGCTAATCCATGTGCTCACTAGACCATGTGTGCCATTTAAAATTAAGCCTTTGCTGAAAACTGGAAATCAAAGTGAAAATATTTGGTCAGACATCCTCTCATATTTTGAGGTCCTCTTTGGCAATGTTCCACACAGTATACAGTGTATTCTAATGTAACAAAAATGCATGTGCAAGAAATACGCATGCCACTCTGACATGTTGTATTTTTCTGGTTTACAATAGCTGCAAGGACATTAACTTGAAACACAAGTTAAAAATTGAAGAGCAAAAAGCTACAACAATTATCACAAGCGTCGAGAAGGTGAAGAGGAAATGTTAGGTGTTCACCAGCAAGAAGTTTGTCGTTTCCCTATTCATCTGCATCAGTTCAGTTAGTACACTGTTTACAGCTAGCCATTACAATGCCTGAAGGAGGATCATGAGGGTAGCCCTACAGCTGTACAATAAGATCTCTCCTTACAGATAACCCAACCAGCCCAGGAAAGGTTGGCCACACCACTGAGGTATAACTCTTTTCGAACAGTAGTGTGGGTTCTTTTACATCCCGCAAGAACCAGATTTTAGGTCAGATACTGTGAAATGGGACCTACAGCTTTTCATCCTTATCGGAGAAGACTACAAGTCTAACCATTTGCAGATGTCATTACAAACGCAGCATTTTCTTCTTAGCTATATAAAGACCCAGAGTGTTGGTCTGGCTGGGGTTGAACCTGCAACGCTCAGCAGACCGGCACTCTCCCAATAATTGAGCTAACAAGGTGATGGTCAATGTCATAATAATTATTAAAGTACGTGTATGATAACCTTAAGCTAAAATAAATCTAATATTTGGGCCTTAATATCAAATACTGGGGGCTAAAGGATTTATGGCTTACTTTCCACCACCAATGATGTTTTGTCATGGTATACTTTGCTTCTCTGTAATGACCAAACATGTCTGGTGTCTCAGCATTATTACAACCAATTTCTTTTGCTCTAAACAAAGAAAGAATGAGCAACAACAATGAGAAAAAAAAGCATATTTTTCAGTATGAACCATTTTTTTAGTTCAGAGGATATGAATTCATTATGCTGCTCAAGGAGGTTTGTCAAGAAAACTAGACAGTGATGTCACAACTAAGGCACAAAGTTCTCTATTTTCAAGCTCTTTCCGATTTAGCACAAATATGCGCTAAACATTTGCATCACAGCATGTCTTTAGAACAGCTAATACAATTAAACAGTACATTGTAAACTGATCAAGAGACTGTGCTACCTAAGAGTTGTAAAGATACTCACTTGTCTTTTGTTATATCCCTTGGACAGTCATTAGGATCAGTGCCAGGAAATTGTTTTGGGTAAAGCTGATATGAGAAAGGGAAAAAAATCTGGAGTACCTGAAGAGTAAAAGAAAAATTAATTAAATAGATGAGGAAAACAATAATTACTCAACTTGTTAAAGACTAGACAGAAATTAAAAGAAGAAGAATATTAATATTTTATGGGGAAATTTTCATTTGTCCTCATTACAAAGGGGAGCTTAACCCTCATAAACCACATTGCCACCTCTTGTTTCCCTGCCAAATGATGTCTACAGAACAATCGCAGAGCTTCCATACAATAACTGATGATGCATCACTACCCAGATCTGGGTAGTGCTTCTGATTTGATGAAGCAAATTTTCAACCAATCAGATGGTTTACCCAGATCTGAGTAGTGACATGTCATCAGTATGACATTACTACACACTGCACACTGCACACTGTATAATCATTTCTCAAACATCATTTCAAAGGGAATCCAGTGGACTGGTGGCCTCCTTAAATGTTGGTTTTATTCTCAGGCTATTTAGGTCAAGGGAAGTGTATGTGGAACAGTGGAGAGAATGTGATTCAAAGTTATTACATTGCTGATTTTACAAAGGATTTTTTTCTTATTTATTTCCTCTTTCTTTGTTGATGGTTTGAACCCAGGACTCATGACTTATTAAGAATATTCAATGTGATTACCTGGATGCATGCATGAGTGTACTAGCTGCTGTATATGAATGTTTGTGTGATTGTGACTTTATTCAGGACATCACTGAGGGTGCCAATAAGGTTAACTGCTTAGCATAAAAAAGCCTTTTTTCACTATCGTAAACGTATAAATTACAAAATATTAGCTGACAAGCATATAAAAACAGGGTATTTTTTAAGCGTATATGGAGCCAAGCAGAGCCAAAAAGTTAGAACTTGATACAAAAAGATGAAGACTTTCTAAAATAAAAAGACAACATGGTGACATAGATTGATAGAAATGTATTTTGTCAATATTCCCTGCACTTTAATCTGTTAGTTGACGTATATGCGACTTACTCTTTGCTGCGACGTTCCGTACTTGTTCGAGCCTGCGTTCGAACTGCCTGTGGTTGTGTGTCTTAATTCAAATTAGATGGGAACGAGGCTGGAGTTGACTCCCTTGTTTTGATACAACTATTTCTGTTTTTTTGTGTAAATCACATTGTTATTATGCTAACTAGTATTTTTCAAGCACAATTTCTGTAAAATGTTTATTTCCTCAGTGTCATTGCTCTTTGCTTGCATGATCTTGCAAAGATGGTGTGACTGTCTGTAATCTGGCATAATAGGACTGAATGAAGTCTAATTAATGTTGAAATCTGGGCTACCGATAGCCAATTGGAATGGAGAATTCTGTTATAGTTATGATAAATGGCACAATGACTGTGTACAGAAATTCAGCTCGGGCGCTTTTGTTCAAGAATTTTATTTACTGAAAGAGGTTGAAGAGGACTGTGCCGTCTTCCAGGTTCAACCATGGAAGACAAATCAGGGCGTCAGCTAGGCTGAATTTGTAAGAAATAATTATCTTCAGACTGATAAGACAAAGTGTTCAAGAATATTGCAAACCAGTACTGGAAAAGTGGGAGAGCACTTGGTAGTTTTAAGGAAGTGATTGACTTGGAAACACCACCCTATACACGATTTTGACGTCAGTAGGACTTACAACCATTTCAACTAACTGACTAAACATTTTTTTGCTGCTTACGGGCTAACTAGTGTTTTTTTTTAGCTGTTTACTAACCAAGTAGCATATTTTTCGCTGTTTACTGACTACAGCTATATCCAATTGACACCCTCATCACTCACCCAGATGGTCATTTCTTAATGTGTGCACTTTTACTACAAAACTATGGGATCTAAGTGCAAATTTGACTTTCCATTTCTTCTGTGTATGGTAATGTACTGTAAGAATTCAAAACATTTACACCAAGGAGAAAATTGAAACATGTAACTATTGGGGTACCTTTAGCCTAGTGTTAATTCAAAAAGTCTACACAGTGGAACCTCAATATTATAATGAACCTCTACAAAACAAAGTCCTTGGTATAACAAAGAATTCTCTTTGACCAAGTAATAGTAAAATAAAATGAAAAAGAACCTCAATATAACTAAAACTCGTTATAGCAGTCCCTTCGCCCTCCATTTACAGGTTTCCCAGTAAATATCTTAACCTTGATTGCAACCATGGAGTTCAATTGAGCACACTTGGAATGCAGACTGAGACGCAAAAATTTAATACCCAGCTGTCTTTAACTAACTTCATACAAAATTTACATATCAACACTCATAATTGAAAATTGTTACTATTACTAAATTATTCAAAACGGTGATTGGATGAAATATTATTGCTTTGCATACACACACATAGAGTTGTCAGTAAAACAGCTATGTTTATTTTTTTCCTAACCAGAAAATTTAAGTAAAATATATATTAAGTAAACAGCAAGAATCCAAATTAGAATGCTTTTTCAAAGAAAATCGAAGATTTTTTTTATAAATGTTGATATGATCTATAAAATATATCAATTTGAGACTCCACTAACATATCTAGTACAAATCTTTGTCAAGAAACTTGGCAAATTCTAATCACTTATTTGGGACAAGTGCAAAGAGGGGGAATTTCGTTAAATTTGTCACCAGGACAAGGAAAACAACACAATATTTGTTTCCAGTGGCTCATTTCGTAGAATTTATTTGAGCTTATACATGCTTCGCCCATCATAACATAAATAGAAAGTGAAGGATATTTGATACGGTTGTAACAATTTAACTTACCCGACAAAAGTCCACTGATTCCACTTTTTGGTTTATTTCCTCCGAATAATAATCATTGCTAATTATCAGAAGGGCATGTTCGATTCCTTTGGCACGACTCAGTGACTTGAGAAGATGGGAGAAATAATCGACCCGATCGTGAACCTGAACGATGATAACAATTGAACTCTGAGAAAAATCCGTGCCGAATTTCTCCGTATTTCGAACGTACTCTTTGTCGTTCAGAATTTTCACCATCTTCCGCAGTTTTTCTATTTCCGGAGAAGCGACGTGAATGTGATTTTCAACTGTGACGGTAGGACGTATAAAGTTAACCGCTTCCGTAATCCTCCCTTGAGGAAGATTTTTGTTTATATTTTCATTTGCGGCAGTATTTCTAATATTTCCGTCAATACTGGAAGTTTTGAAGGTATTTTCATGGCGAAGTGTGGTCGGTAATATGTTCAAATTGTGTAAATTGTAACCAACATCTCTGTTTGGCGGTGTGTTGTTAAGTGGGTTGGATGTAATAATCTCGTGGAGCGCAAGCACCGCAAAAATGGCACAAACTCCTAAAGTAATCAAAATAAACAGTTTGGTGCTGAACAGGCGAATCGTCGTCCCTCCGTATTTGAAAATCATGACTGCCAACTTAGCTAAGGCAACTGTGGCAGTGAAAACTGTCTACAGCCACGGAGAGTTGTGTGAAGAACTGCACTCCCATAAAGTTGTACGTGTCATGGCTGACACAAGGTTGTCGTGAACCGTAAAACGATGGCTAGCTTGTCTTCGAAGACGCCCATTTCGGTTCACTTGTTTCTCTTTGTTGTAGTTAGGAAGGTTCTATACGCCATGTGATCACAGTGTGTTCATATTTGAGGTATGCTTGAAGCTTATTTACGTCTTTCCCACGATAGTATTTACCAGGCCGGCTGTATGGATTTCGAAACGACACCGAACTGTGGGTCATTCCATTTGCGCGCGTGTTTTTCGTTGCGTACCGTTGCGTGGAAGATGAGGGAATAACTTTCCCCAGTCTCTCGCGGACAGTGATAAACAACATGGCGGCAAGCGAGGAGGCGAGTGACATTTGTGTCATCGTCAAATGGAGTGGCAAAGAGTATCCGATCGAGCATTTATCACCTTCCGAAACTGTGAGGTACCTCAAAGACCTGATAAAAGAAAAAACTGGGGTTTTACCTGAGAGACAGAAGCTTTTGGGTTTGAAATTCAAAGGTATATTTAAGAAGTAGTTTGGACAGTTTAAACTAGTCCGCGCGATATTTTTTACGGTAATGACGTTAAATTTGTTTTGTAGACAAAGAGTTTGTTTATGAACAGTTTTTATACTTGTTACTCAAATACTTTATAGCATCTGCTAAACAAGAAAAGCTTTCATGAGAGTCTGGCAGTCACATAAATTTCAGTTGTTGGTTTTCATGTGATGTGACTGGGCCATATGCATGTTTAAAAAAAATCAAAATACATAAATAAAATAAATAAATAAATAAAAATAAAAGAAGCAAACAAACAAAAATTTCCCCAACATTGGGTACAAAACCATTTCTTTTATGCCAAGTCTGCAAAAACAGTATGGCATGCATATATTGACCAAGTGTGAGGTCAGAATGGCTGCATATCAGCTAAGTTCTTTTTAGCATTCTTTTCGACTAAGGCAAGGTCAATAAGGTGTGAAAAAGGAACAATGCCAATATCCAGTCATCTTGACCAAACAGGCTAGGCCAGTAAATGGTGTATTATGTGGTTATATCTTGACTTTTTCTTATGGGACCAATGCAGGAAATCGCGAACAGACATTGGTAGCCAGTCAGAGTACTAGAATTGATTCATCTTGCCTGCTCTTGAATTCTGTCGCGACTATGTAATGGCCATGGATCGACTTGGCTGTTTTGTCATAAGGGTGAAAACCAAGAATTTGTTGTTTTCCAGTGAGACCTACATTGAAAAAAAAAAAGAAGAAAAAACATACAAGCTAAAAAGGATAGGTCTATAATTTTGTACATTCGCGCAGATGATGCCGTGCACTGTAGCAGATACCACATTCCCCTTGAGGCTTTGCTGCTCACCCTGACTGGCACCCTAACGCTGTGACCCCTCCCCTAGATCTGCCTCTACCTGTTTGAGTTTGTGTGTTTGGTTGCTGTTTCTCTCCTGATCAGGCAAAAGTCCCAATGATGATGTTCGCCTAAGTGCCTTAAATTTGAAGCCCAATACAAAGATTATGATGATGGGAACAAGGGAAGAGAACTTGGTAAGGAGTATATAACTGTGTACAATGTAACAAATTAATTATTGGTCTAAAGACAATGTTTGCTTAAAGTGAACTTAGAAAATTGAACTACAGCATTCTTGTCTGAAGTCTTAACATGCACAAAAAAGAACCTAGGATGAAAGCAGGCCCTCATGGTATGTTATAACAGTTATAAGCCAAGTGTACATGTAGAGCCATGGAAGATCTCAGTTCCAACTTTAAATCATTGTACTTATAGACTACAATAAT